TAGTGCACTAATCGTTAAAGTAATTAGTTAGTAGTAGTGATGCGATAACGCAGTGAATTTAGTACCAAAAGGTGCTAATTTAGTCGTTGGACGGCTAATGAGTTCATCAACGTGTGCGTGTGTAAAAACACGTGTCGTCGTGTCCGAAAACGGTGAATTTTGTCGTTTATTGGTAGTGGCAAAAAAATAACAGCTGTTTGGTTCTCTGTCCGATTTTCCATTATCTAAAATGTACACTTTGAGATTACAAAAATGTTGAAAAGTAAGCTTATATTAAGCGAGAGATTAATTGCGTCTTCAAATTGGATTAGAAAAAAAGTATTTTGGTTTGGTAAGAATGGTAGAGTAGGTGGTGTGTCACGTGGAGACAGCTGTGAGGACAATACATGTAAGCTTTGAATTGACTAAAATATGTACTAGTCGTAGCAACAAGAACAGATAAAAAACAGGTTTTATATTCAGTTATTGACAAGTTTAAAAAAAGAGTAGAATAAAATGCTTTTTCTAAAGATGATGGTAGACGAATCACGAATGTACCAAATCTATCTATACTTATAATAATTGAGAAGTAAAATATGTTATGTGGCGGTTACAGAATGAGTTTAAGACTTGATTTGCCTATATTATCCTTAATGAATCAATATATTACATATCAATGCCATCGTCCAATTAAATTAAAAATTAAAAATCCATAATCGTGAAACCTAAAAACCAACTTAATTATTACGCTTGATTAAGAAACTAACATTATGCCATCGATTCAATAATATGGTCCATCATGTTTTTCTATGTGGTCCATGAGCCAAAGTCGATTACAAAAAAACCTAGCAATTGGTTCTAAATTTTCTTATATATATAAAATAATTGATGATCATGAGCAGCCGTAACATGTATTATATTTTCGATTATTAGTTATTGAGAGATTATGATCAAAAGAATATTCTTGCAATTTTTATATTTTTCTAATCTATGTATGAGCAACGTGTATTTTGTTTTTCTATATTTCGTTTATAGAGTCTTTGATCTATTATTCTTCTTCTTCTATTGTAACAACTATTCTTTCTTTGTTTTTATATATTTTCAGAATTTGGCTCTTTCTACAAGGTAATCCTCTTCTTTTTCTTACTTTTTCATGTTTTATTATTTTAGAAGTTTTGTTTGAATTGTGATTTCTTATTTCAATATGGTGAGCCCGATATATATTTAATACAATTTTGATTATTCTCTTATTTTTGTTCTTCAGATTTTGTCTATATCGAGGTATGATCGTCTTTGTGTGCTTGATTGGCTATTGTTCAATTTGGTGCGGTTTTGTTTTGATCTTCGTATATAAATTTATTTACTTGCATGTTTAATGTTTGCTACAAAAATATGTATGTATTTTCGGTTTGATTATTATTTCATGTTCTAACTGGTGATATTATGATATATGCTTTTTAAAAAAAAGATATGACGATATATAAATAATTTGGTAATTCGTTTGGTTGTATATTTTTATTTCTTTATTTCATAAGTTTCATCTTTGTTACCACATAATTTTGTGAATTTTTTTTCCGGATTTGATTCGTTTGGTATTTAGTTTTTTTTTTTATATATAAAAACTCTAGATTTGTTGATTGTTAGTTTTTTTCTTGAAGGATATTGTTAATTTTTACGTTGTTGATATGTTCGGATATGATTTTTATGTGTTTTCCATGATTATGAGTCTAATAGATTATGAGTTCACATATCGCATGAACCATAGGTCCTTCGAAAGTCGAAACTGAGTTTTTTTCTTTAGTTCTTCTAATTAAAGATATGTGTTACTATCACCTTGTGGTTTATTTTGTCGTCTCTTGCCCATTGTTGGGTTTAACAATTAAAGATTAATTTAATAATATTATATAAGGTAACGTCGGTGTTATTAACGACCATATACTTTCTCAATTATCTGGTATGTTTTTGTTTATTATATATATAGACCGGTGGAATTAATACATGAGGATTATAAAAAATTAATCATTATGTGTTGTGTCTTTGTTAATTTA